CTCTCGCTCTCTCTCTGTGTGTGTGTGTGTGTGTGTGTGTGTGTGTGTGTGTGTGTGTGTGTCTCCTGGCTGTGTTGAGACCTCAGAGCCAACAAGTTGTCTCCCACGTAAGCTCTCATTCTGCTGCATGGCCCAGAGTCGTTCTTGGTCAGTGTTAGAGTTCTCCACTCATCTCTCACAAAGGGCATCTGTATAACCAGCTCATGCTGCTGCTGGATTATGGCCTTGTGAACATTTGTCAAGACTTGCCTATTTCTTTATTCATTTGACCCACATGACATCACAGGATACATGTATTCCAGTGTTCTACACTGCATTTCATACACTGCTTTTGGGAAAGAGTTTCCTTGTTACAGTTTCACACACTGCCGTTGGGGGCCCCTGAAAAGGCAGTATTCTGTTTCAATGCTTCTGTAGCAGTCCCACAATGTCAACATCCTCCAGTGTTAGAAGAGTTTGATCCTGCTCCCCTCGAACCCCCAGTCGTGCACTGTGGCAGCTGCTGCAGGAGGACTGATTCACTTCCTTCTTATCCATCCTTCTTATCGCACTTTATCTTTGTTTTGCTTCCCTCAACACTGCATACATCTTGTGACTAAAATTATATGTTGTGCTTATCTTCACAAACCCCGCCACTCTCTTGCTCACTGATGGAAGGACACAAGTCCTTCCTTTGTTTCTCCTTGGAGTAATGACAGGAAATATACCGTACAGGGCTCTCTCCTTCACGTCCTTGCCATCGAGGTCATATTTGGTGGCAATGTAGTTGAGAATGGCTCTGGTCTGTACCAACGTCATCCCGTCAATCTCCACCATGGGCACTTGCTCAAACATCAACTTCCCATCTTTGAAAGAAGAAAGGAGAAAGGTCTGTGAGGTGTCCAGGTCTCACTTCCCAGAACCAGAAAAGTTGTATTGAAATTTCTGATCAGGTAAAGGAAAGCTAATGATTGGCTGCCGGTCTCTTGAGTAAAATCCTAATTACTTTTCACATTTTGTCTCTCCCCACCTCTTTTGGCTTTAGAGATTCCCTCATTCATCTTTATCCTATCCAGTTGCATATTATATCTCTCACGCATGTTTTTATATTCAATTCATGTCCCTGGATACATTTGGAAGGGGAGGAGGGACAGCAGAGGGCCACCATGCAAACAGAGACAAGTAGGGAGTTTGAAAGTGTAGTCATGCTTATGGTGTCAAGGTGTTGTGTGACAATTTTTTATATAGTGAGGCACCATGAACTCCTCCAGCCTGTATTTGTGGTTGTTGGACATTGTGGGTGAAACACTGACCGAATAAATGAGTGTTAGTGAGCCTGACAAAGATAGCTCCCCCCTGATAGAGAAATTGTGAGAGAACATTCACAAGTCACTAAATTCTTGGAGAAATCTGCATCTTGCTTTTATCACTGTTTCCATATTCAGACAACTCAAGGAGCCCAAACTTACATCCTATCACTCTGCCATCCACCCCTGCCCACCAACATCATCTTCTGGTAAACCTCCTACTGGGCTCCTCATTGAGAACTTAACGGATCCTTAGTGTTACCTTTTCTTAACTTTTCCAAATCTTCTGGGCATTCTATAAACTTCTCTTCAAACTGAAAACAGAAAATGTAAATGTATTCTTGTTAGCTCATTCTGTATCACTGTAGACTTTTGAACTTGAGTTGTCTCTGTCTGGCAGTACATATGAAGAAGTTAAAACTTGCAGTGGATACGATGGAGTCTGATCAAGGCCACTTGTGAATTTAGATTAGATCCATCAGCAAAAGGGTGTTGATCACAACAAAACTGCTCATTCTTGTAATGTTCCTCCTCCTTGACCTCGCTATGCCATGCTTAAGTTTCTAAGAAGGGAGTGAAGTCACTGGAGGATCAGAACTGGGAAATTGACTGTTGAGGAAAGCCTGTCAACTCTAATGAGAACAGAATAGAAGTTTCTGTGTTTCCATCATGACACCTGTCATGGTCCCTGTGACCAACTGGGTATCTTTTCTTCAGGATTTGGTTTTACTAATTTTAAGGGTGTGTGTGTGTGTGTGTGTGTGTGTGTGTGTGTGTGTGTGTGTGTGTGAGTGTGTGGTCTTGTACATTGAATACATCCATCTTGGAGGTCAGAGGTCATGGAGGCCAGAGGTCAGATATTCAGTTGGAGATGGAGTGATAGTGACAGACAGTTATCTGGAATATGTGAACCCACAGTTGGTTGTCTGCATGTGCAAAAAGAACTGTAAACAGCCAAGCCATTACTCTAGTCCCTCATCTAGGTTGCTTACATTGAGGGACTACTAAGGGTATTCTAATATTTATTTGTTTTATGTATGAGTGTTACATGTTTTTGTTTGAGGGTGCACATACCCAGTTACTATCCACTCCGGCCTCTTACACGGGGTCCTCAGATATGAACCCATGTGTCTTATTAATCTTTAGTTACCTAACCATCTTGCCAGTCCTCTACAGTACTAAACCACTCTTTTCCTTTCACAGTTTAAAGAAACTTCAACCTCGCTTGGTGAGACAGTTTGAGATAGTTCTGTACCCCCCGGCTTGGACTGGTAGGCACTGAAATGATAAGTCTCAACCACTTGCACAGAATTCAGAGAGATGGAGGAAGTGGTGACAGTCATCACGGAGGGTGGTTAAACGTCACCGGGTTGGTGGGTGTGAGGGTGATGATGTCAATGGCCAGCCTGTGGGCACGTTGAGTCTGAAAGGTTTGAGCCAGGATCTCTCACAGCCCCTGCCCACTGCCTTCTCAGTCACTCTGGGACACAGAAGAGGGAGGCTTCTGTGCAGACGCCTCACCTCCTCCCCGTGAGCTGAATCAGCAGTTCAGTGGCTTAGGACACATCTCTGAGACACAAAACTTGCACCTAGACACTTGACAACACTCATTCATTTGTATAGAGCAATCCTCCTGGGCCTGCACTAGAGTATCTTGGTTCTTATGCTCTCCTTCATTCAGGAAGGATCCAGCTGAAGCCCTGTGCCTTTAGGAATGGAGGAGTGATTCTATGGCTGAGGTAAACACTCTACCATGACACTGAGGAAGAAGCCAAAGCAGCCTCCACAGGACACCACTTCATCCTTTAATCCTCCTATTATGCTCCTGTCAGAGGAGGGCTCAGGTAGCCTCTGGTGTGAACAGGGAAGTGTTTTTCCCAGTGATTCCTCTAGAGGGCAGCACTAAGGCCCGCCTGACCATCCATGGGCCTGTCATTATACAGTCTTTACAAACTGATTACTGAGTCTTGCTGTGCTGTGACAGGCAGTTTGTTACTATCTTCTGTGTCAGGCCTCTCATTTGTGGTGTATATTTTAACTCTACTTAGCTTTTCTGGTATAGTTTACCCCTTAATGTTTTTTTATATTACAGGAGTGTAGCAGAAGGCAACGCAAGTGCCCACGGAGACCAGAGGCATGGGGACCCTCTAAGGTAGAGGAAAGGCAGTTGCTGTAGCCTGGGGGAATCCTCTGCAAGAAGAGTATGGCATTTTCACTACTGAGCTATCACTTGAGTCTCCTGTCCCCTTTAAACCATTTCTATCATGGAACTTTCTGGTTCTGTGCTGTAAAACTACACACAAGACGTGAAGATCCTCCATCCATCCATCTCCAGCTCCATTAACCACCAGCTGAGGTGCACCCTGTTCACCTCGGTGCCCATCTTCTCTGCGATGCTGACCTTAATGTCAGACAGACCTGAGGTGTCACATGTCCCCATCGCAAACACTTTACTGTGAATCTCCAAAAGTAAGTTATCTTTTTAAAGATCAGTGCCATACCTAAAATCACAATATCATAACATGATCTGCAATAGTCAATTAGAACCATTTAATAATCAACATTTGAGTGTCTATTTCTGTATGCCTCTGTATGTAACTTGATTCAATTCAAATACCTATTTAACCAAGTAAGCATGTGATTTTTTTTTCTCCTGAAAATATCTTTTAATGTAAATGTGTTCCTTGGTAGAGAGTATAGCAAAATTTTCATTTGCTCAAATCAGTCCTTCTTCTTCTTCCTTTTTGTTTTTTTTGTTTTTTTGTTTTTCGAGACAGGGTTTCTCTGTATAGCTTTAGAGCCTATCCTGGCACTTGCTCTGGAGACCAGGCTGGCCTCGAACTCACAGAGATCTGCCTGCCTCTCCTTCCCGAGTGCTGGGATTAAAGGCATACACCACCAATGCCCGGCCCCCAACTTCTTCTCAATACATGATGATTATCATTTTTCCTGGGGTTGGTGTTCGCATTTTTATTGGGAAGTTACAAGGAAGGGGGCCTCCTCTATCAACAGGAGTATTGGCAGGTTCTTCAGCCATTTCAGGCTTTGGCCCTGAGGTCATAGTGCTGGCTAGGCACATTGGGCATACTCCCATTGTCTCCCACAGGCACGGGGTAGTTGTAGCATGTGGCCTGGTTGATCAAGGTGGCATTCATGGTGTAGGGGCTGACTGTGGTCACAATTATAGTTGCAGTCATCTTGGTCTTGGCAGCACCAAGGGTGCCAAGATGACTACCATTTAAGGTAAAACTGTGTACAGATTTCCTGGTGTGGAGTCTCTCAGCTTAGAGATGTATTTTAAACCGATCTTGGGTCCAGTTCCTGAAGAACAGTGCACAACCTACCTCCACGCCTGCTGCAGCCAGGAGCCACCTGATGCACTCCACTCTGCCCCGGCCATTGAAGTGGTGAAGCACAGGCTTCCCAGACATGGCAGCCACTGCGGTGTCACCAACTATGAATGAAAAAGCAGAGATCAGTCCCAGGGGAGATGCTTTGGGGTGTGTTTAGTAATGCAACACTAGAGAAGGGTAGTCTGCCTTCTTCATGGACGGCTTGCAGGGAGCCAGGAAGGTCTTATTGACTCATTTCTCCCCCATCAGTGACCACCAACCTGCAATTGCACCAAACAGGACTCAGCTGGCCTTATGCCTTCACCTTGAGAACATAGACAGAGCAGCCCAGACTCTACAGTGAACGGCCTGGGAGCCTTTGAGCCTTGAAAGCAGAGCCATCATGGGAGGGATGAGACAACGTCCACCCCAGTCCTTCACTCCTGGGCTGCTCAGTTCAGAAGCTTTCAATGGCTTCGTGTCACCCTGTCTGTGACAAACCCTAGTTCTCCCCATAGGAGAAGGGCTCATCTCTTGGTTGCAGTTGTTTCCCCTGCTAAAGTGGATGCTGTTCTATGGCCCAGAAGGAGAGACACTGATGCATTAACTTCATATCACAGGAAGTAACTTCCTTTGGAGCGCACCGCATAACGGGCAGTTTGCTCATTTGAACTCCATCCTGTCACCACAATGTTTGTTGGTGATGAGCCGTCCCTGCTGCAAGTTTACAGGAGAGATAGATGTGCATGCAGGTAGATGATGAGGAAACCCTGAGCTTTCTTCTTGCACAGTGGCACCACAGGCTGGGTCCTTGCTGCTCAGTGGCTGTAAAGTCAACATCATGGGTCATGGGTAGTGTCTTTACCTTGGGATATGATAGGAAATGTCAGAGTCTTTAAAAAGTGTCATTGAGTGAGATTTTATGTGTGTGTGTGTGTGTGTGTGTGTGAGTGCACATGGCTGCAATGGCTGTGAAGGCTAGAAGAAGACACTAGATCCTCTATGCTGGTGGCCCTGCCTACTGGGCCAGTATCAACAGGCCTCAGTAGCATCATTGCCCTCGGGATGTCAGCCTCCCTGCTCTCAGGTTACAGCTGCTCCTCATGGGCACCTGAAAGCTCCCTACAGCACTTTATGGGCCTCTTTGCTTTTCTATCTTTCTCTATTTGCTTTTCTTTATTTTCTCCATGAACTCTGGTTTGCACTGGACAGCTTCAGTACTGGGACTTCACAGGGACTCTGAGATGCTGAGGCTTCCAGAATCTTCCCTATTTGGCAGTCATTCCACAGCATTGCTGAGACTATTGCCTTGCAGCCTTCTCAGTGACATGTATCTTATAAATGACATCTATGCTGATGTGTGGCTCTCTTTAAACTCACAGTTTTAGAGCTGCACACACAGAGTCCACTAGCCTTCTCCATGTTCCCAATGAAGGTTTTGAACTTAGCAGAGGACTGGCCACCTAACTGCTTAGTGTCAGAGTTTGTATTCAATTCCTTCTTCCACAGAATGATTTCTTCCTGCCATGTCTTCTTACAGAATTTTAAGCTGTTTTCTGGCCTCCCGATCTTTCCCTCAAACACACATCTGTGGTCACTGAGGAAATGAGTAGACAGCCTTCTCTCTGGTATCTAATGGAAGGTTCAGTTCACAGTCCTCTGATCTCCCGGGCCTCAGTGGTTCTACACACTTTTGCCCTTTCAGGCTTACCATTTAATAACAGAGGTTGGGCTGGAGAGATGGCTCAGCCGTTAAAGGCTAGGCTTACAACCAAAAATAACAGAGGTTATCTTGGGTAATTAAATAATAACAGTAATAAAGTAACAAATCCTGAGCATGAAACCTGCTCCTCTCTTCTTTAAATAAAATTAGCAAAGCAATGGGAATCCACATGACAGAAACAAAGACAGGGGAAAGCCAAACTGGGAAAGTGCATTGGAAGGGTGGCCTGGGAGAGTCTGGGTGAATTTAAGTTCTCAAGTGAGAGGAATCTGAAAGTTCTCTGTGAGGTTGGCTATGAGAGCCTGTAGGTTTAAGATATCTTTATTCAGATAAACATCAGCAAAATACAAGCCAGAGCATGCCAGGGGCAGCAAGGCAGCCAGGCCAGAGAGAAGGAGCTTCCATGTGCCTGCAGCCCCTTAAGAACCCAAAGCAAGTCATCCAGACCTCACCTTGACCACACCCTGACAGGCGTGGTCAGGCCCAACTGTAGCCAGTTCTTAGGAGGCGTGGTTACGGTGTCTCCCTACAGTTGGCATACACAATTGAAGAGAAGAACGCTTTTGATCTTCGGTGTGCCTGGGAGGACAATCCAGGTGTACTCCTCACTGTCCTAAATCCATGCATTCTGATTCCCCTGCAAATATGCTAAACCCCATCTTTGGTCAGTGACACTGAAAGAGGAGGCAGAAGGAGGGAACACACAGAGAAGCAGAAGGAGAAAAAGGAGGAGTAGGAGAAGAGGGAAGGAACAGAAGAAGGGAAGATTGCAGACCAGGTCACAGGAAGGAGGGACGAAGGGGAAGGAGGAATGGAGGAGGGGAGACAGAGGGAGGAAGGACAGAAAGAGAAGAAAAAGAGGAGGAGAAATAATTCATATGAACGAGAACGAAATGCAGATAACAACAATGGTAATGGCAGTGAATACAATCAAAGTATATTATGTAGATAAGAGGAAATTACATAATAAATTTTTTCGTTTTTTCGAGACAGGGTTTTTCTGTGTAGCTTTGGAGCCTAATCCTGGCACTCGCTCTGGAGACCTGGCTGGCCTCGAACTCTCAAAGATCTGCCTGCCTCTGCCTCCCGAGTGCTGGGATTAAAGGCATGCACCACCAACAGCAGGCTTTCCACTGCATTTTTGTTGTAACCTTTGTCCTGTTTTAATCAGGAGCTCAAGGGCAGAAAGGAATTTCACAATTCACACTTAGCTTAATCTGGATGGATGGCCATGTCCCACCATGCTCTGGGTCTTTGTGCATCTGTGCATCCCTGCAATTTTGCTGTGGAAGAGTGGCCTTGTCACCCTTGGCAATGCCATTTCCCAGCTAGCGATAATTACTGCTATGTTGTGCCAACTGCAGACCCACAGCTCTTATCCACAAACAAGGACATCTGCCACTGATTTACTCACAGACCCACATGTTCACTTGTGATTTTGATATAATCACTGCCTCATGGTTCCTGGGTTATTAATCTTTACCTGATGATTTGGCTGTATTCAGAAATGCATGGCACTTGCCTGAATCTGCATACCCTACAATTGTCCAGGGCTGGCCTCTTTTTATCTTGGTATATACTGCTAATCTCTTTTCAGCTACAGAATGTCCCTCCTCAAGGTCCACTCCACTTTTCTAGAAACAGGTGACAAAGTGGCCGTGCTGTATTTCAGCATCATGCACATGCTCAGTGGCAGCACAGGATCTCAAGTCCATGCATCAGTCTCAGTGACAGGGTGAGTTGTGTCTGAACACAGCTCAGGAACGATTGTATCACTACAGTTAAGATTTGTTCCAAGATGTGGTCTGTTTTAGAGAAATTTGCATGAGCTGAAATGTATATTCTTTGGTGTGTGGGTGGAATATTTTGTAGATTTCTCTTAAATCCATTTGATACATGTCATTTATTTCTGATTTTTGTGTGTTTTTTTCTGTCAGGAAGATTTGTCTATTGGAGAAAATAGAGTTCTGAAACAACCTACTATTGATAGATTGTAGCCGCTCTGCATCTTTCATTGTAGAGGTACTCTTGTTGTGAAAATTTGTCCATCAGTGTTTGGGAATCACCACAACATGAGGACTGTATTAAAGGGTCACAGCATTTGGGAGGTTGAAAACCACCATTCTGTGATCTTGCTGAAGATCTTGTCCATGCCAGTGGCCTGGGATTCTTCTCTTTCACCCATGCCTATAATTAAGGGTTGGTATTTTCATGGTGTCACACATTTCCTGAATGTTTCTTTTACGTATTTTTAATTTCATACTCTTTGTGTGATCTCTGCCCTCTGTTTTATCTTTGTGACCTGGTATAGCATCTTTTACTGTACTAAATAGTAGATCCATCCACTAAACAGAATGGGTCAATTAGAAGATACTATGCCAGGCCTCCACGATAAGGACCCATTCTATTTTTAAGACTTTCCCCTGAATTTTCTAGTTGGATCATTGTTTTTCAATTCTATCTTTAGTTCAACTTGAGTTCTTTTTAATATTTCTATCTCTTTATTGAATCCATTTTTCAAATTCCAGGTTGTCATCATTATGTCTATAAGCCTCATGTTTGTGTTTTCTTGGGCATCACCCAAACATTTATTTTCTTCTTTAATTTCATTGAGCTGTTTCTTTGACTCTTCTCTAAACACTCAGAAACCTTTGATGGAATTTGTGATTGCTCTTTTAGATCAGTGTCCTGGGGCTCACTCCCATTAACATTTTTAGGACTTGGGGAAGATACTGCCTTGACCTTTCATTGCTTGAATTGTTCTCCATGAGAGATGGATATGTAGATTTCTTTTGTTGGTTCTGTGTCTGACGTGGACACAGAAGATTGGCATAAAGCACAGGATGTGTCGCAATGGTTGGGATCAGAAGTTGGATGTGGTGTGTGAAGAATGGATTCAGGTGATAGTAGGGGGTTGGCTGTGTGTTTGTGGGGCCTCTGCAACCACTACAACCAGCAGAGTAACAACCCCAGGAGGGAAGAAGGTAGTTTGACCCTGAGTAGTTTATTCTAGGCATATTTAAGCACAGCATTATTTGGTGAAAAAATTCCTGGTGATCATTAACTCAATTCCATGGGCACAATAAAGCTTAAGACATGACTACACCAAAGCTCTTTGCATGATACATGTGACATCTTCCATAAAGATAGGTTCTGTAGATTGACAAGCTCATGATGAGGCTATGGTGGAGGACGTGGTGTGATCTTTGATACACAGATAGCTCAAAGGTCACTAGGCTGTTAACCACATTTGTTCCCAGCCTCCTGGGTGGGAACCAGGTTGTACATCCTTCTCTTTGAAGGGACAACCCCGCATGTTTAAAATTCCTGGTTCCCCTAGTGCTTATCTGTGAGGACAAGGACCTCTGTGCCTCCC